TAATTTGTCTCTGTACACGAAAAAGCCCATCGAGCACTGTATAATCGGGCCTTTGCCACTATTTTGCGCTGGTAAAGGGTCCGCCAGAACTCAACTCTTCCCTGACGCTCTCCTAAGCCGAGAGTTTCTCATCTGCATCGAGTGTGCACAATGTGATCCGCGGGATTCTACACATCAGCAGGTAGCGAAACTCCTTGTTTCCCTCAACCATAAAAATAGAGCCTCTTGGATCATCCCTCTCTTGAAAAGCTGTCGTTTCACAGCATGCTGAGGCCAACGATCGCCAATGCAAAACCGACCACACCGGGTGCAACAGCCGAGGCAGAGCCTTCGAGAGCGGTCACGATCTGTTCCCACTGCTCGTCGCTGCAGAACATACAACGAGAAACAACAACAATCTCCAGTCAGAACAGAACACAGGAAGAAGTAGAAGATGCAGGGCGTGAGAAAACTCACGTGAAAGGGGCCTTCTGTTCGTCGGCAAGTACATCCGGCGCAGTCATGCATATCAAGGCCGAGGCTTCTGTTTCGGTGCTTTGTCCCGCGCCGTCTGTTCCGCGGCTAGCTTGCGCTGCAGACGTCTTTTTAGTGCAGGTGACGACACGGCAGTCTGCAGTAGCTTTGTCTGTAGGGTTGTACAGGGCCACGAAAGATACGTTCTCCTGATTGTCGTAAAGATTATCTTCTCCCTTTTTAGCCGGAGGCAATCCATCAAAGTTGCTGTAGGCGTCCTTCCACTTATCCACAACGGCCTTGCAGTCGACGGAATTGGGATCGTCGATCGGAAGGTATGCGTATGTGCCGCTCTGGAAATCAGCTGCATCCTCAGAATTTCTAGTACTTCTTGATTTTTCTGTGGTCTGGAAGCAGCGGGAGAATGGACAAACACCGAAGTGATTTGCGCAGGCAGTAAATGTAAATGGCATTTGGAAGTTAGAGATGTACACAACTTACTGGAATCAAGGCTTCGCACACAGGCTTCCAGGCCCATTTAGGTTGATCGCC